AATATAGGATCTAGAATATATATATATATATATATATATACGGGTGAGTCTGAGAAGGCTTTTTTATTGTTGTTGGTTTTAAACGAAAGCGTTGAGACGGAAGGGTCGCAGAAAATAGGATTCAAGGGTTAGAGGTCCGCAAGAGCCTACGGATTCCAGGTACCCAACGTTATTTTTGAACTTTTTGTAGTGATTTGGTCGGAAAAGTGTGTTAGAATGGGTAGGGTGAAGGGGAAAGTTACTGATGGTGAGGGAGGTGAAGCGAGTGAGTCAAAGAGGGGTGGGAACAATAGGAAAGATTCTCACCCGAAAATTGTGGCGACTGGTTATGAATGGGTGAGAGGGGATGTGGGTAAGTATGTGAGCAAGGTGAGGAGTGAGATGGAGGCAAGTGTGCTACAACATAAATTGAGATTTTGTCTTCCTCCATACTTAGAACATCTCTCAGTTGAACCGTGTTCCTCAGAGGAACGTGTATTTTTCAAGGTACCGGCCTCCCCGTTGTATATATATATGTATCATTGTGTGTTGAGGGACTTGGGAGTAGTAAGTAATCCCTTTCACCCCGTTTGAATGTGAGTTTCTAAAAAGGATCAATGTAGCCCCGAGTCAATTACATCCCAATAGCTGGGGGTTTCTGCGTGCGTTTCAAATTTTGTGCTCGGTAATGGAAATGAGTCCGAGTTTAGGAACGTTTATGTATTTTTATCGATTGAAATTGGGGGAGCCACCTGTTGGGTGGGTATCTCTGAGTGGAAGCTCGAATGGTGGGTTGTTCCTAATTTTTTCGCAGTCGTATAAGAATTTTAAAGAGCAATTTTTTAAAGTACAATGTACACATAATGATAAGAACTCAGATGCGATTTTCTACTTGAATGGCGAGCCAAAATTTCCGTTGAGTTGGCAATCCAATCCGATAAAATTCTCTGGGTCAGAGGGGTTAGTATTATCGGATGAAGAGAAAGAGAATATAGAGAGACTGAAAGGGTTACCTCGGCCCTTAGAAAGCAAAGCTATCTTGTTACTTGCGGGGTCACAAGATCCGCGAAGGGATTTAGAGAGTAAGTATACCAAAATAACATCTAGACTTGATTGAAAGTATACGTATAACTGAATATATTATGTGTTGTTATAATGTGCAGGTATCATGGGTAAGAGTAAATGGAAAGAGTTGAAAGCCAAACATGGGGCAAAGGAATTGGAGGTTATTAATGCGGAGAGCATAAAGGAAAAAAGAAAAGTTAGAAACAAAGAAGAAAAAGCAACGAGTTGGTGATAATCCGGGGTTGGTTCAAACTGAAGTGAGTGTGGGAGAGAAAGATGCTAATGTAAGCCAGCCAACTGGAGAATCTGGTCGGCCAGTTGTCGCGAATGTGACGATGCCGAGTTCCTCAACATCGGGTGCGGATCACAAAAAGCGGGAGAACCCAACAGTGGTGATTCTGGATGAAGAAACAGTAAGTGATATTGTATTCTTTGTGAAGGGAAAAATCATTAAATTGAAGAAAACAACATATATGGAACTGATTTATTCCCTGTTTTTATAGGTAGTGAAGCCAAAAAAGACAACCAATCCGATTTCCTCGGATGAGTCAATGTCAGAGCTTCAAAAAACAATTTCTCAGCTCGGTTTCTCGTCTCCGATACAGCAGAGGGGATCTTCTCAAGGTGGTCAGACAAGCCGACCTCGTTCACTACACCAGAGATATGATGCTAATCACCCCTTGGAAAGATTAGATCATGTGAGTATGTCTCCAGATGTCACGTCATTCTGGAGTGCCAAGTTAACGGCGGATGCATTTTATAAAGAAGATCCCGCACACATTGCCGATAAGGCATTAATTAAAAAGGTGGGTCCGGTTGAGGGATTGGATTCAGTGGAAGTGTTTCTGCAAAGGTCAATTGCAGTGGTGGATCACTGGAAGAGGAGATGGAAGAAGAATATAGAGCAAATAGACAAATTGAAAGCAGAGAATATGAAGGTTGGGTCTCTGTGTGCTGAGTTGGATGATGTAAAAGTGAAATTTGCTGAAACCAATAAGGCGTTTGAAATATCGCTGCGCTCCAACAAATCATACTCAACAAAAGTTGAAGAACTTTTAGGGAAAGTGAGAAGTATAGAGGGAGAGAAAGAGCAAAAAGAAAAAGAGAATGCTGAGTTAAAAATAAGTTAAAGAAAATAGTGAAAAAGAGAAGGAAAATGCTGAATTGAAGAAGAAGTTAGAGGAGCAAAATCGTTTGACCTCGGAGTTGCACGAGGAGTTGCAAAGATTAAAAGATCAAAATAGAGCTTGTCAGGAAGTGATAGCTGCTGATGTGGAAAAAGCCACAAATTTAGAAAAGCAAAATAACAAGTTAAGTGAAGATTTGGAGAACCTCGAGTTACATGTGATGGCGGAGCATAGGCGGGGATTTCCCAAGGCTATTCGTCAAATGAAAATAGTATTTCCCGAGATCAACCTTTGTGATTTAGACGTCAACAAGGATGTGTGGGGCGCAAAATTGGTCAACGAAGACGATATACCTGATGATGGTAGCAGCAAAGACTGAGACAAAAGCATGAAAATTGTAGCGGTGCAATATAGTGGCTATGTGTTGTTGTTGCTTTTTTTATTGTGTTTTGCTTTGTATGAGACACATTTTGCTTCTTGTGAAGCAATTGATTAAGTTTAATGTAACTATGATAACATTTGAATTTTATATAGATTTTTTGCAGATAAATAGGATTTTGCAAGTTACAAGTTATAACAAATTTATGTGTTTTTATATGAAACGTATATAATAACGACGATGTTATTATAAAAAGGTTGGAATATGGGCAACCTTTATTGACGTTGGCTCATACTTGGCCAATGTTTGAGTTTAGATAGCTTTTATCAACAACTGTTGGCTCAGACTTGGCCAAGTTTACTGACATTAGCTCAGACTTGGCTGAGTTCAATTTATTGAGTATTAGGTGCAAATCTGGCCGATATTGATGTCATCAGCTCAAAGTTGGCCGAGTTTAATTTATTGAGTATTAAGCGCAGATTTGACCGATATTAATCGCATCGGCTCAAACTTGGCCGAGCTTAATTTATTAAATAATGGGCTCATACATCGGCTCAAACTTGGCCGAGTTTAATTTATTAAATAATGGGCTCATACTTGGCCAATTTCGTTACGTGGAGACTAAAAGTAATGAGAATAACTAAATGGGACCAAATTGAAAAGTAAAAACAGAATGGGAATAAATTGAAGAGCAAAAATGAAATTGCAATAAAGGGAGAGAGTCTATTAGATCGAATTGTAAACCAAGTACATCTCTCTTTTGTTTACACCAGGTATGCCTCATTAAAACCTCTTCAGCCAAAACCCTGCTTTTTTTCTTGGGAAAAAAGACTGAAGTAGGAAAAAGAGTACATTACCTGGGTTTACATAATTCAACTATAGTAAAACTTCAGATGAGTGGCGTTCCAAGTCCTTGGGATGACTTTACCACTCAACTCCGTAAGTCTATATGCACCATTTTGTAAACATTCTGAAATACGGAAAGGACCTTCCCAATTAGCTGCAAATTTACCTGCAGATATTTCCTTCTGGGCTTCTCCCACAGCTCTCCAAACAAGGTCTCCTTCTCGAAAGGATCTCAGTTTGAGCTTAGAGTTGTATCTTCTTGCCGCTCTGATCTTGCACACCTCTTCTTGAATTCGGGCACACTCCCTGATCTCGTCAACAAGGTCGAGATCAGTTTGCAAGGCTTCGCTATTCTGAGTGGAATCGAAAGTCATTCTTCGGTGACTTGGTTCCCCAACCTCTACGGGTATCATGGCATCAGACCCATAGGGCAACTTATATGGGGTTTCTTGAGTGGTGGTTTGTGGTGTACAATGATATGCCCATAGGACACTAGGTAACTCTTCAATCCAATCACTTTTGGAAGATCCTAGCCTCTTCTTGAGTTCACGTAGAATCACTTTATTTGCTGCCTCAGCTTGGCCATTGGTTTGCGGGTGTTCAACTGATGTGACTTTATGCTTGATTCCGAGTTGCACCAAGAATTGTTCAAAATTTTTATCTACAAACTGCTTGCCATTATCTGTGGTGAGTGCTTGAGGTAGGCCATACCTGCAAATGATTTTCTTCCACGTAAAACGCTGCACATTTGCTGCTGTAATCCGCGCTAACGGTTCAGCTTCAACCCACTTGGTGAAGTAATCAATCCCTACAATTAAAAATTTTAATTGACCTTTGGCAATTGGGAAAGGACCAAGTATGTCCATACCCCACCATGCGAAAGGCCATGCTGATTGCATTGAGTGTAGTGCTGTGGCGGGTAACTGATGTAGGTTACCGAATCTCTGACAAGCTTCACATTTTTGTGTGTATGAATCTCGTCCATCACATACTCGGCTTGATCCAAGTTGAGGCATTTCAAGAGGGGTTCTGAGAATCCTCTTTTAAACAGTTCATCAGCTTCAAGTGTGAAATGGCAAGTTTTGGCTTTGATCTTTGAAGCTTCAACTTTATCGCTGGGTAAAGTACCATCTGTGAGATATTGCCAAATACTTGACATCCAACTGGACTGACCAGGATTATTGGCCAGAACTGCTACAAGATCATAGCTTGGTGTGTTAATTATCTCTTGAATAATCGTTTTATGTAATCCTAGACGTTTTGTGCTGGCTAATTTGGATAGTAGATCAGCTCTGACATTGTGTGCCCTTGGAACATGCTCTATCTGAAAATGTTCAAAAGAAGAGGTCAAATGGGACACCATAAGATTGTACCTTTGGAGCTGTGGTTCTTTTGTTTGGTATCTTCCCCCGACTTGCTCAGTAATTAATTTGGAATCACTGCAACATCTGAGCTTCTTGACGCCAACATCTTTTGCTAACCTTAAACCTGCAATGAGAGCTTCATATTCTGCTTGATTGTTAGTGGCTCGGAAGTCAAACTTAATCGCAAGTTCAATCATCATATCATTAGGACCTTCAAGGATAATCCCAGCACCACTGCCTTTGGTGTTGGACGAGCCATCCACATGTAAAATCCAACACTGATCTGCCAATGGGATATTAGGCGTGAGCTCGGCTACGAAATCAGCAAGACATTGGGCTTTCAACGCTCCTCGGCTTTCATATTTGATTCCGTATTCAGATAGTTCAATTGACCAGGCTGTCATCCGACCCACGAGATCGGGCTTCCGAAGTATCTGCTTAATGGGATGATCGGTCTTGACCACGATTTGATGAGCTTGGAAATATGGCCGAAGTTGGTGAGCCGAGGTTATTAAGGCTAGGATCAATTTCTCAATAGTTTGATATCTCTGTTCAGTGGGTTGCAAAACGCGACTGATAAAATAAATAGGAGTTTGTGTCTTACCATCGGTTTGCATGAGTGCTGCACTGATGGCATTATCAGCAACAGCCAGGTATAACAAGAGATCGACACAGCTCTGAGGTTTGGTTAGGATAGGAGGTGAACTCAAGAAGTTTTTGAAATCCAAGAAAGCTTGTTCACATCGGGCATCCTAGCAAAAATCCTTAGGTTTCTTGAGCAGGTTAAAAATGGGTTTTGCTTTTTCGGCCATCTTGGGGATGAATCTAGACAAGCTAGCGAGTCTGCCTGCCAGCCTCTGCACTTCCTTGTGGTTTTGAGGGCTCCTCATGTTAATCAATGCTTGACACTTGTCCGGATTTGCTTCTATCCCCCGAGAAGTAATCAGGAATCCCAAAAATTTTCCCCCTTGGGCTCCGAAAACGCATTTTTCAGGATTCAATCTCATGTTGTATTTTCGGACCTACTGAAGGATCTCGTCAAGATCTCGGACATGATCATCGGCTGATTGGGTTTTGATGACCATGTCATCAACATACACTTCAAGGTTACGACCAATCTGCTCAACGAATACCTTGTCCATCAATCTCTGATATGTTGCTCTGACATTTTTGAGCCCAAATGGCATAACATGGTAACAATAATTGGCTTGCTCTGTAATGAAGGCAGTGTACTCCTCGTCTGGGGGATACATGAGAATTTGATTATAGCCTGAATAGGCATCTAGGAAACTCAGCAAAGCGTAGCCAGAAGCTCCGTCTACCAAGCTATCGATGCTGGGTAGGGGGTATGCGTCTTTAGGGCAGGCTTTATTTAAGTCTGTATAATCAACACACATACGCCACTTACCATTGGACTTTTTGACCATTACGACATTGGCGAGCCAAGTAGTATACTTAATTTCCTTTATGAATCCTGCATCGAGCAATTTCTGAGTTTCGATTTTAACGGCTTCCCTTCTTTCTCCACCAATTTTCCTTTGCTTCTGAGACACCGGCTTAGCTTCCTTGTAAATTGCGAGTTTGTGGCAAATAAAATTGGGATCTATTCCTGGCATATCTGCACTGCTCCAAGCAAAAAGGTCAGCATTTTCAATTAAAATTGCCATGATTTTGCCTCGGAGCTCAGGTTCTGTATGCTTCCCGAGTTTGGTGCATTGTCCCGGCTTCTTTCCAATTTGGAATTCGAGCAAATCGTCAACAGGACTAGGTCGGTGATCGTACATGTCGACTCGTGGATCCAACTCAGTGAGTTCGGTTTTGCCGACGTGGGCCACGACTGTAGAACTCGGCATTTGAAGCTGAGGCTTTGGGGGAATAATCTTTAAACTTTCAGCGTAACATCTCCTTGCCAGTTGTTGATTGGCTTTGATGGTGATGATATGTCCATTCATCCCGGGGAACTTCATTGTTAAATGGGGTGTAGATACTACAGCTCCCAGTTGGTTCAGGGTTGGTCGTCCGATAAGGATATTATAAGAAGTGATGGCATCAACCAAAAGATATTTTACCAAAACTCGCCTGGAATTTGCAGCTGTACCAAAAGAGGTTAGTAATTCAATGAAACCACGGGTATGGACGCGTTCACCTGCAAAACCTACGAGAGGT